GGGGGGGAAGGGGGCTACTGCCCACGTCATTGGTGGAATTACTACGATGAGGTGTTTGGCCATACGCCTCTCATCCGTTCCACCAATCACCGTAATCGTCCGCCCCCTCACTCACTATCACTGTACTCCCGTTAAACAGCCATCGTGTAAACTTCCTTCAATGTTGATCCGATGGCAGTTTAACGGGAGTAGAGTGATGGTGAGAACAGAGTAGGTAATATGTTTTACCCAGTGAATGCCATCCCCGCTGAGGATATTTGCGGAGTTTGGCTCGTCAATGCACCCCTTCTTTTCGACATGGTTAAAAAATTGCTCACTGAGGAAGATAATGCCTGACTCCGCCCACACGACCAGCGCGCACTCTGTCTTCAAGGTGCGAGTCAGTTTGTAGATTGGTTGCTAACATCTGAATTAATTTTCTTTCTCTGCCAGATGAGATTTTAGTGGGAAGCTTAGCTCGGCCTGAGGTTTGCACCGTTTTTCTTCTTCAGAAGCCAGGGTTACCACCAATCTTTAGTAGAAGACAAAATGGTCTAAATTCAGGTCCAATCAAGGTTCCATCCACTACCTCGTCTAGCAGGATAAGAAAATTAATTGTTAGGCCGAAATGCCGACCAGGGATAATATGGAGTTTGTTGAACATTCAGCTACAGTGCTTGCGACTGTGATAGATCATCCCAAATGACTTCCAGGAAAATCTTAACTTTGGGCTCGTTTATATTACTCGTTATCCTGAGCTGCTTTTTGACTTGACAAGAAATGAAAGAGACTGATAGAGTCGTAGTCCGAACAATAAATCACGAATCTGGATGAAATTGACAGATGACTGAGATAACAAGTGTGAAAAAAGTGTAGATTGGGACATAGTGCATTTGAGGAATTCCTAGGGAGAAGTGATTATCTTGGAATCACTGCAGGGGACGTTATCCTACGACAGAAATGATTATCTTAGAATCACTGGAGGGGACACTTCCCGAATACGAAATCTGTATTTGAGCGAGAAACCGGTAAATTTTAGCTGTTCAGTAGAGAACTGTCGATGATGATGAGTCGAGAGGATAGTGACGAACTCGAATCGCCGCTAATCAACTATAATGCAACTGCTGGATCGCTCGTGTCGCGCTCCCAAGAAAACTATTGTCGCGAACTATGAACGCTGTTCGAAACTCGTGAATCGTTTTAAGCTGTTGTGTTATCTGCCAGCAGTTCTAGGGTTTAGAAATCAGGAC